TATATTTTGTTTTCTTGTATTTTATCGCTCTGCTGACCCTTGGGGTCCATTTTATTTTGGTATACCTTTTCTAGGTACGTTAGCCTGTGACCACGGAAATTGGCCGAGTCAAGTGATGGATTAGTACGGAGAGATTGAGACAGAAGGAGGTACTGGATAGAGAGACCGGGATGGTTTTTAATGTGAAGACAACAACAACAACAACAACAACAACAACACCACAATCAATATATTGTAATACTGCTGTGTAGTAAACGGGCCAATGGTAGCAACGCACGAGCCTACTGCAGGTACGTTTTTCAACAAAAAAATTATTCCACCTCCCGATCTAGTATCACGAGAAGGGTCTAGCCGTCCCTTTCCCTCGTCAACGGTGCTAACGTCGAAGTTTGGTACTTACGAGAGCTTGTCAGCTATGTTTCGCTTTCACCCGCACATTTCGTAAATTTTTCACCCCACGGGGATTCGGACTCACGACCTCTGCGACTAGCGGATTGCGAGGATACCACTAGACCACCGGGGCGACCGGTTAGTCCAGCAACGGCGGAAATGTTGCTCTTCGTTGCGTATAGGATTGAGTACCAACAGCGTCACAAGGAGGTTGATATCAGACCCTTTAGAGCGGGGTGTACAAGAAAGACCTCGTAGCGACAGCGACACACTACAGCTGAAGAAATTTCGCTGCTAGGGTGTGGCCTTATGTGCAGCCGTCGGTGGTAAGAATCGGGGTTGAGTCAGGAGGCGAGGGAGACGAGGAAAGCAGCAAGTGTAAACAGCAGAGCAAATCATACGTCTTGAAAATTCAAGGGACTGGTGCCAGACCCCTTCCGGCGCTGGCTCTCTTCCTACATGCTTTATCCAATATACCACAAGAAGGGATCCTTCCGCCCCGCCATGTCTACATACATAGTTTCACTTGACTACTTGGCTTTTATCAGTAGAGGACATCATGAAGAGGGGTCATACGCTGGTACGTTCAGGTTTGCTGCTGGAGCTCAAATGTTGAAAGTCGTAGCGGCTTTAAATGTCCACAAATTGGACCAAATTTGACCGAAACCTGCACGATGTTTGTTTTTTTTCCCGATGCCTTCCGATTTCCGACTGGTGGGGTGTGTCTAGTCTGCATTTCCTGGTGCTGTGCTCTTGCGGTTTGATTCAAGTACACAGCAGTAGATAATTTACAGCATTATTCTGCAGGATTCGGCAGCACGAAGAAATACTGCAAGAAATTTCAGGCTGCACCGTATTTGGCATTTCTCAAACACGGGCGTCAACTGCTGTACCGTACCAGATACCTCGTCACCTCATGCGGAGACGCCGACACTTGGTCACGGTATTGTCAGTGGCTCAATGATGTGCTGCTGCTCAATCATCACCTGCTTGGAAATGCGGCTGCTCCCCCACTGGAACTTAAGCGTCGTATTCACCTAGGTAGAGTACCTCAAACAAGCTTCCAATGGCGCCAACGTGAAGAGGACACACCGCAGCCAAGCCCGGAAAGGCTGAAGGTGTGGCAACCGAACCTACCTGCGGCGCAACCTCGGGGCTCCGCGCTATCGAACACTGGTGGTTAGGTGTACACGAATCCTGCAGCAGCTTACCCTGCCCATGTGTTGTGCGTCTGCGAGGCAGCAGTCTTGTGTGGCACTCCCACCTCGCCACGCCTTCTTCCTCCCCCCTGTTTTCCGTTGCTGAAGACACCAAGAGGATTTTTTTGGATACATCATCAAGGTCGGCTGGTGAGTGGGGAAGGGAACCTAGCACGATGTGGGATCAACAGGGTTGGAAGGCCAATTTTGATGGATAATTTGGTCTTGTCCATCATCAACAGGTCGTGCCAGTTCTTGAAGTATTTTTCACCCCTCACTCATTTTGGCCTTGAACTGGGTTCTGTTCGGCGTCCGCGTGCCCCGTCCATGACGCCGGTCGGTTAAACGCCTTACTGTAGTCGGTCGCTGTTTGCTTCAGGCCATTCCGTGATCATGCCGTGAAGGGAATGGTCATGGGAGAGAACGCGCAGAGACCAGGAAGGCGACGAAAGGCCTCGGCTTAGGTCGGGACTTTCATCCTCTTGTTAGACAAAATACCAGTAAGAGGGGCGCATCCCCAGGGCGGCCAGGATGGATGCAAAGCGAAGGGATAAATAGCTATGCGCGTATTTAATGAAGGCCGAGGACAGCAGTAAACTTGTAAGTAAAGCTTGTTACGCTCCACCGTCTGTATGAAACGGGCGGCATCTTGTTTTCTTCCTCCTGTTTTCCGGGGCCGTCGAGGTGAGATGAAAACGGCACATGCGGCGGCCAGGCAGGCCGCAGGGGCAAATGCTCTCACGGTGGCATTTTGTACTTGGTATTGTACCTATCGGCAGCAGCTCGCCGGAAGTATTTGGCTTGGTTGGCATCATGGTGGGTTTCAGCGGTGGTAAAGGTGGTAGCAAACGGTAAACCTGTGCATTCAGCAGCACTCTCCGGGTGTGATGGCGTCGTCTCGTCCTCATGCGGGGAAATTGCATGGAAGGATGGAAGCCTGCTACAACAGCGGGTGAACCGCAGCTTGCGAACGTTCATTTTTTTTCCTTTCGAGTTGGTGATTCCCACGGAAGCGAACCCTCCACCTCCCTCTCCCTTTGCCTTGCGAGGTCTACAGAATGCGAGTCACTCCCGCATGTATGATATACAGCTCAATATTGTTGCCCATTTATCTCCTGTTTTGGTTTTGGCCGGCATTTACCCCGAGGCCGAGATAATTACACCGTCTTGCCACAGGCACATCCTTCTACATGCGTACCGGTGGTTGTCTTGTGGCCCGCGGAGAGAACTTTCAGGGAAGTAGATCCAATATGCAAATCTGCAATACGTGAACGTCAAGAAGTGCCTCGAGTGAAAGATATTTTGCGACACACGACATTACGGAGGGATTCTCCCCGGTATTTTTTTCGTTGACCCAGTAGAGAACTACGTGGGGGGGGGTGTACTCATAGTCGTGCATGCCGTAGTCGTTGGACCATTGACCTCGCATCCCTACAAAGCCGGGA